TCCAGCAAGTTCTAAAAATAAGCATAGTTAAGATACATTCTTTAAAGGTACTAATTTTTTAATTGCTTCAACTTTTCCTGATTTGGTCCTATTCCTTGAGAGGTTATTATATGTCCAAGAAAAGGTAGTCATTGTATTCAAAATTGATATTTCTCTAAATTCAATTTTAATCTAGCTTTTCTAATTCATAGAAACACTTCTCTTAGATATTTCAAATAATCATCAAATGTTTGTAAATATATTATTATATTATCAAGATAGACAACAACAAATTTTCATGCATTGTTCTTATAAACTCAGTCCATCAATCTTTGAAATATTGCAGAGACATTGTATAGTCCAAAGAGCATAATATTAAATTCGTAGATTCTATATTGAGTTGTAAAAGCAGTCTTTTCTCTATTATCTAGGTGTATTTGTACTTGCTAGTATCTACTAGCAAAGTCTAAAGTTGAAAACTATTTGGATCTAGCTAAAGTATTTAACATTTCATCTATCATTAGTAAGGGATATACATCTTTCTTTATGATACTATTAAGCTTTTGATAGTCTATACAAAATCGTAACTTTCCATTCTTTTTTTTAACAAGTACTACAGGTAATGTTCAGAGGCTTTCTGAAGTATGTATCTGTTTGTTTTCTAGTATTTTTTGTATCTCTTGTTTAATAAATTCTTGTTTATTTGTTGGTACTGAATAAGGTTGCAATTATATTAGAGGTATATTTTCTGTATATATCCTATAAGTAACTAAGTCAGTTCTACCTAGTATATTCTTTTTATTTGCAAAAAAGTCTGCAAATTCTGATAATAATTGTTTAAATAATTGTCTTTGTTCTATTGTTAGAGGTCCTATTTCTGGTTGTGGCTTTTTGTCTATAGTATAAATCTCTGTTTCAAATAAAAAACTGTTAGGCTCTGTTTCATCAGATAGTTTTTCATCCTGCCTAGGATTTTCTAAAAATTTAATTCATTAGCTAATGAGATTAGTTGTTAGGTCCATTCATTAGCATGTTGAGAATCATTAATAAATAGTTGAAGGAGTCGTTTGTTAAGTTGTTCTAATTTTTGAACTCGATCTTCTAATTGTTAAACCTTTAGGTCTTATTCATTAAGTTGAAGTACTACTTGTTCAGATAGCTCTTCAAGTTTTTCTTCTTCTGAGTCTTCTAGTATTTCTTCGATCAAAGTATATTTATTACAGGTTCCTTGGTTTTGGTCAAGCTCATCTTGATGCTATATCATTAAATATTTATTGCAAAGATTAACTGTAACTGTAAAGCTTCTCTTTAAGTTAGCTATAGTAGTTTGTCTATTAAAATCAGGTGACTAATATCTATAGAGTCTTCTAAAGTTTGTTGTAAGATAGTTTCTTTGTTATCATAAAGCATATCTCTTTCTGCTCTTAGTAGAAGTGATATTTTATTCATTGACTATTCATGATTTATCTGGTCATAGGTCTGGAGTTCAAGAGCTTCTTGAATAGTAAGATCACTTTTCTCAAGTAGGACTTTAGCTAGCCTAAATATTAGAGTTTGATTAAGATTATATATACTTCTAGCATATTGTATAGATTCAGTATAATATTTAATTCTAGTCTAGAGATTATAATTATAGTTATAGAGAATATCAGTATAGGCTTTGTAAGCATATATATGTTCTAGATTACAGAACCATAGGTCCTGAGTACTACTATCTTCAAATAGCATTTGTGATCTTGGCTTTTCTTTTCTACAAACTTTGCAATTAATAATGGTTCCTCGACCTTTGCCTTGTTAGTAGAAATATATACTTCATGAGTTATTACGATTTAGTCTTTAGTGAAAAGTAGTATAGCAGAGTTTATAAATTAATCTTTGTTCTAATTCAAATAGTCCTGATTCAAGTTAGGGTGTAGCATATTGGCAACAATAAAAAACTAGTAATGACTATAGTAGAAGGATCTCTATTCCTCAATAGCTTATCTGTTGCATCCACAAGCTAAGCTAAGGTTTTGTTGTTTAAGCTCTTTAATAAAGCAATCTACTTTAAGATATTCTAATTTATAATATCTACGACACTGGTTTTGAGAGTATTGTCTATAGGTATGATCACTTTGGTTACAAGTTTTGCAACTTTCTTTTTTAGATACTTGGTTAGAGCAAAAGGCAACAATATATCTTTTCTAATTACATCTGTGACAAATATTTTCAAGGCAATCTTTAAAGTGATGGTCTGTTTGTCTGCAAACTCTACAAGGTTTATAAGTGTGAGAGCATCTACGTAGAGATTGAATTTGCTATCCTTAGTTATCATCAATTATAGAGGTTTCTCTTAATTCAAAAGAATACAACTCTTGTGGTGTTAAGTATTCTTGGTTAAAAATTTTTAAATCTTTTGAGTCAGTAATTGTTAGTTATTTGAGTAAAGGTCAGTTGATTCATAGATAGTAGTGGTCGAATATTTCTTGTTATTCCATTTAAATGAGTAGCATCTATTAGCCCAATTATAGTTGGCCTTAATCTTCTTAGACAAATTATTCCTAAGCAATAGGGAGTAGGAAGTAGCAGGTACCACTTCAACTATAATAGGTATGTAAGTATCTTTAATCTTTATAGGAAGATCTCTAATAATTCTAAGTAGTCGAGTGGAGGTTCTAATAGCAAATACAATAAAGCTAGTAAAGGCATGTTCAATTTTTAGTCCTAGCTCTTTTACAATACTATCCCTTAATTTGTAATACAGACAAATTTGCTTGTATCCACTTTTAATTTTTGTAATTTTTAAAATAAAACTTTAAATATTAACTTTAAATATATACTTTCTAAGTAAA